AAAGAGATGAGAATTTTGAAGCAACAATTGTAAGAGAACATGAACGAGCCGAAGTCTCTGTTTAGCCAAAAAAGATAAAGTGATAGCTTCTCTTGTAAGTTACTCCAACGGTAAAGAGACAAAAGAGTTGGGCTATGGGCTTTGCAAAGACAAAACAAAAAAGGGTTTTAAGAGGATCAGTACTTTTTTAAGAAATTATAGGGCAAAAAGTACTACTTTTAAAAATATAGGTCAAAAAGTATACAACCCCTAACAAATTTCTAAAATTCCCTCTTCAGTAGAATAGGAACTGATTCCTATATTTTTGCTTCCACAACCAAAGTTTAAGGGATCTCAACTGTTACACATAAATCCCTTCAATATAGCCAAAAACCTCATTCTTCCAAAAACTTCCATAAAACATTTATTTGAATTTCCAAAACTTCCAGTGTAAATGTCAGCCAAGTGGGAAAAAAAAACGTGCACCACATTTCATTCAGACTTCATAAAACGTTAAGGTTAATTTTGAAAAAAAAAATACACACATGACACATTTTTTATTTGTCTACAGTAACAAAAATTACATTTCAGCTCTGCAACACTCATTTAAGAAAAAGTTACCAAGTCAAGTAACGCAACAGTACTTAGGATACACAAAAATGACTGAATCTTTATGTAGATAATAGACATGCCAACTTGATCATGTCAATATATGTCGTGACATTGACTTACAATATTGTGACATTAGTTTCTAGCTGTGTGAATTTAATTTATAGCAGTGTGACATTTTCTAGTACCTGTGTGATATTATCTTGTAGCATTGTGACATTATTGTGCGAGACAGTAAATTATCCTCGAAATTAAAATTATCATCTTGATTATTACGATCATCCTCATTTGAGTCATCATCATTGACATTTATCCTTACATGAACATGATTGATGTTAAGAGACCGTAACAATTTTTTATTTTTTTTTTTAAAAATATATGGACGACATTGTAGCAGTGTGACATTTTCTAGTACTAGTATGACATTGTCTTATAACACTGTGACATTATTGTGCGAGACAACAAATCATCCTCCAAATTAAAATCATCATACTGATTATGACGATTTATATAAAAAAAAAACAAATTATACAAATATAAAAAAGACATGAATGTTTGAATAACTTAAGTTGAATGAAGGAGAAAGATATAATTTAAAATTAAAAAATGTTATTCCATAAATTTAAAAAACTGAATTTCTAATATAACTGTCATATTTGTCTCCCATTAATAAAGGAAAAGGGCAATTTCGCAAGAGAAAAAATTTCAATTCAGTAAAAGTGTACCTCTTCACCAAACATTTACATATAAAGGTACTTATACACATGTTTTATATTGAAGTACTTTTACACAAATAAGTATGAAATAGTGTATTTTTTCACAATTTTTCCAACAAAAAAATTCATGGGCTTAGAAAATAAAATAGTGTAGGCCCAACTAACTAAATATTTTGAAACACAATAAAAAAAAAAGCCCAACAGAATACAGAAGTTTGTCTTTGCTTACTACTTGCTTGTTCATTTATTTGTCATTGGATTACTCCAAAACTATTTGGTTTGTACATAGTTTTACAAGTAGGATGAGGAATTGTTAGGTTTCATCTCAGGGTAGGTGAACAGGGTGCTGATGTTGTAGTGTTAATTGTAGGATGGGTGGGGAAGGACGCCTGAGAAGTGGGAACTCTTTGCCATGTATATATCATTGAAAGAGGCAATACAAAAATTCTCTGTGTCTCAATGTTTTCATTCAAGGATGTAATCGTAGGTGCAGCAAACAAGGGACGAAGAAAGTAAAATGCAAGCTCGCAATTGGTTTGGTATCACTGCTGAAAATGTTTGTGTGATAGTCACATTGTAGGAAGCACACTCCTTCTAGAAATATTCAGTGGTATTTGTGTTTGATTATGTTGCAAATTATGCATGTATTGAGGCACATGTAATCTAGTTTAGTTGGATTCATTCAACGTCATCATCACATCAATATAGGTATGAGTTGGAGTGTATCAAGATCGGCTCTTTGAAATTTTTAGATCAATGTCAAATTTCAATGTTTGATGACAATTCAAAAGTTATAGTAAATTAGGTTAATAAATTATATTCCAATAAAATTATTTCGACAAAAAAAAAATAGAATATAACAGGCCTTTTGTTCTTTGCATATGAAATGCTGAATGAATAGCCGAGTATGACCTCTAAATACGGTATGTTCGTTCCGAGCATTCATAAGGGGATGTAGCTCAGATGGTAGAGCGCTCGCTTAGCATGCGAGAGGTACGGGGATCGATACCCCGCATCTCCATCTGGAATTTCCTTTTTATGTCACTGCGAGGGAACGAACCAAACATTTGTAAAAGTGTTTTTCGGTCAGCCTGATTTTTAGGAAAATATTGATGCTGAATACAGGGTTTCAACTGTAAAGCCAAGTCCTCACTTCTGGAAACAAGGGTCCACATAAGAAAGTTTGAAATGGTCAAACAAAGTGTAAGAAAACGTCAGCTCAGGGGGGGCTTAACAGTATTGTTGAAAAAGGTTCTATTTAAACCTCATTTTTAAGGGAGATTTTAAATTTTTAGATATTATAAAAGTCTATGTAAAAAAATTAAATTCATAAATACTTTAAATCCTACAAAAAAATCTTACAAAAACACAACCCAATCAAAAAAAATTTAAGGCTTCACTTCAAAGAAAACTCCATAATTTACATACTTAAAAAAAAGACTCTATAATCTATATGTGTGTAGTAACAGTTCAAACAAAAAATTTAAATTTATATCCAAATAAAAAATTTTGACTTAAAAAAATTAGATCTATTAATTTAGCCGTAAAATTAAAAAGTCCTAAAATTTATTTATTTTAAAAAAAAAAAACTTACAGGAAAAGTAAAACTACTAAAAAATTTAGTCTTAACCCCCTCAAAAAATTAAGTTTAAACATAATATTATAATTTTTCAATCATTATTTCTCTCTCTTACCATCAAATTCAAATATGGTAACAAAAATTTGAATATAAAATTTTAATTAATATTTTTGTATTTAAAAAAATAAAAAATTAGATTTATTATTAATATTAAAAATAAAAAGCCTCATTTATAGTTTTCGCTTTAGGCCACAAAATGTCTCGAGCCGGCTCTACGTTAGCTCAATTTGAGTTGTTGTCCGCGGTTCGTAATTGGGTTGGAATAAACCCTTTGGGGTAGTACAATGATTAGGTCTGTTATTTGAAAATTCAGATGTATTAGATTCAATCTCTTCTCATTACCTCGTAAGGATTAATCACTCTTATATTTTTAAGGATATATTTTAGATCAGTTCAAGACACGGTGACTAACCTTTGAACTTAAGAGAGTAGTCGATACAACTCTAAATACCCTATAACAAAAAAATAAATGGATTGTAATAATGATAGAAATTCCAAGTTATACATTAAATCAGTAAAAACCCTAGAATTAATGAAATTCTATTAACATTTTTTTAATGGGATTCACTCATTTAAAAGTTCCTATTCATTTGGGATACAAAATATTTTCCTCATATTGACCCACATCAACATTTTGTTCTTGTTGTGTCAAAACAAGACATATATGGGTTGGACTACGACACCGAAAAAAAAAAATTCTAGGAGAGTTAAGCCCTATTGGTTCAAAATAAATTCTAGGAATTTTAAGCCCTATTGGTTCACACACGAAAAGAAGATTGTTGAGTCTTACATGGAATAAAAAAAAATATGTTAAAGTGTCTTAATATACTGTATTTTTAGATAAGTATAAATCTCAAAATTATATATTGAGCATTGAATTACTGTACTCTTTCAAACAAATGTTGTCAGAGCAAAAGTTCGACGATTCTCATAGAAAAAAGAGCAGAGCTTAAACTTGGGTGCAAGAACTTTTTGGTAGAGTGATAAAAAGCCACAAAAAAAACTGGTGAATATTCTGAATATATGTATATATATATATATATGGTTGTTGAGCATTAATCGTTACGTCACATGATTAAACCGCGACCCTCCGGACAAGGACAGCCTTGACTTTGGTTTCGGACCCTTGAAATCTGATTGCACATTGTTACCCAACAGTCAAAATACAACGTCTCATCTCATTAACGAGTAGGATCGAAGCTTCTATTATAAATAATGCAAAATTATGTATTATATTAATAAACTCGGAGGTCATTACCGAAGATCATAGCATCCTACAAGTCAAAATTTGAACCTTAGACTCGTTTAGAATTGAACAATGACTATTTAATATATATTTTTTATTTGATAATTAGGGTTAAGAATATCCAAATTAACTTACGCATATCTGACTAATCCTCTCTCATGTCTGGTTAAAGACATACCATGTATACTGAAATTAGAATATTTATAATGGATAAATTTCTCATAATCTAGTTATAAATGATTGGTAATATTCGAACTCAAAATATCTGAATTTATAGATGACCTATGTTATCAAATAAACATTTTCCAAGAAGTTGCCTCCNTCTCTCATGTCTGGTTAAAGACATACCATGTATACTGAAATTAGAATATTTATAATGAATAAATTTATCATGATCTAGTTATAAATGATTGGTAATATTCGAACTTAAAATATCTGAATTTATAGATGACCTATGTTATCAAATAAACATTTTCCAAGAAGTTGCCTCTGTTGAAATCTCAAACTTTCTGAAAATGACTCTATATATAGGACACATAATTGTCCCTTGTTTGTCACCGTAGAAAATAATCAAGTTCTTGAAAGAAGAATAGTACCAAAATTTCCTGATTACCCTTCGGAAAAAATGGCAGAAAAGAACCAGCAGGTGTATCCCCTAGCCCCGGCAACGGAGGGCCCAAGGAGCGATGTAGAATCANAAAATGACTCTATATATAGGACACATAATTGTCCCTTGTTTGTCACCGTAGAAAATAATCAAGTTCTTGAAAGAAGAATAGTAACAAAATTTCCTGATTACCCTTCGGAAAAAATGGCAGATAAGAACCAGCAGGTGTATCCCCTAGCCCCGGCAACGGAGGTCGCAAGGAGCGATGTAGAATCGAGCTATTTGCAATCCAAGGAGCTTCAAAAGAAGAAAAGATTGAAATGCTTCGCCTATATTGCTTTGTTTGCTGTGTTTCAGACCGTGATTATCCTCGTATTTGCCCTCACTGTTATGCGCATCAAATCGCCTAAGGTCAGGTTAGGCGCTGTCACTATTGACACTGTTGGTGACTCTGTAAGGATAACAGCACAAGTGACGGTAAAGAATACTAATTTTGGTCACTACAAATTTGAGAGCAGCATGGGCACGATCACATCCGGGGGGGTGACTATAGGGCAGTTTGTGATCCCGGAGGGAAGGGCCAAGGCACGATCGACGAAAAAAGTTTATATCAATGCAGAATTGCTTCCTTCAAACACTGGCAATGGGGTTTTGGAGCTGATAAGCCAAGCTAGATTGAGTGGAAAAGTAGAGTTGATGAAGGTGATCAAGAAGAAGAAATCTGCAGATATGAACTGTGTCATGTCGCTTACTTCTTCAAGAACTGCAGTTGAGGGTTTGAACTGCAAATGACAACTTTTAAGAAGTAGCACAAAATTTATTATATTGAGAATTTGAAGTTTGGTTGTTTATTTCATCTTTGAGAGACTCGTGGGAATATATATACAGACTATATATGTATATCCAGATGTAAATAATAAATACTTGTTCTTTTCTATTTGATGGTATTGTTTCATTTTCTGTTTTAATGTTAAATTGGAAGCCATCATCATATTATATATGCATGAGTTCGTTCCATTTTCTTGTGCTGAAGATCTGGTTTCTATCTATCACTTTTACCCTTTTTGAAACGAGGATTAAAAGATAACAAATTGAAAAACTATACCTGCATAATGCAATGGTAAAGCAGCAAGTGGTAAGTAGAATACAAGACAATTACTATAAAGAGTTATCTTTTTCTTTTTTTCGTTCAACAGTAAAGAATGTTCGGGTATGTTTACGAGCATCTCAATTAATCATTTTTTTAATTTGGTCAAAGACGAATCATTCATACCGGACACGAGATAAATCTATTATAACCTGACCTCAAAAGATTGTTAAAATTTGAATTTAAAATATCTGAATTTACAATTAATCTCTATTGCTACTTGGAACAGGGGAAGAGTTGGACCTCACTTCCTTGAACCCATTTTCCCCCATCCCCAATAAAAGTCCGCATATCCCCCATCTTGGCCTAGAAGTAGAAGAATATTGAATGGTTAAGATTAAATCACATTATTTGATAAATTAAATTTGGGCTGCGACTTTGAGAGCGTAGTTTTAGAAAGGGTAGATTTCACAAACACCCAATGAAAAATTGCCTAATTGTAGAGACACCCTCTATAATTATTTAAATATTACTGTCACCGCTATAATTTTTATGTTTGTTTCAATTACTATCCCTACCGTCAATGCTGTTACTGCCAAAGCGAAAATTGGAAAAAGTGCTGCTGTCAATGAATCTTCTCTTTTAAATGACAAATTCTCCCTTGAAATGTAAAATTATAAAATATTATTTCTATATCCAAACATTTTTTATTCTTTTTTTGAATAGTACTAATCTTAGACCCAAATAAGTCTCATGTCCAATTTAATCAAGTCAATACCAAATTTAAATAATACTAATCTTAGACCCAAACAAGCCTCATGTCCAATTTAATCAAGTCAATACCAAATTTGAATAATACTAATTTTAGACCCAAACAAGTCTCATCTCCAATTTAATTAAATCAATACCAAAATAATATTCAATTTAATAAAATTAATTACAATAGTGACCATCAAATTTCTAAAATTAGCAATGAATCTTGTCAAATTAATATTAAATTTTATAAAATTAACATTACATCCACCCAATCGTCATTCAATTTTATCCAATTAATACCAAATTATATTCAATTTTATAAAATTAACACAAAATTGACCTTAAATTTCATCAAATAAATATTCAATTTTCCTTAAATCAACCTTTAATTTCACCAAATTAATATCAATTTGATATTTTATTTCATTAATACCATGAAGTTGATTGTTGACATCTAACAGAATAGGTGTGTGATGAAATTGAATGTTAATTGCTATTAAATTATAAAACATGTGTTAATTAGATTAAATTGAATTTTAATTTGATAAAATTGAAGTCTAGTTTGATGAAACAAAATTTTGAATTAAATAAATTGAATATCAATTTGATTAAATTGAATATGAATTTAATAAAATTAGATATTAATTTGCTGTTAAATTAATGAAATTAGTGGTAGTATGATGAAATTAATATTTAAATTAACGAAAGTAAATGTTAATTGATAAAATTAACTGATGAAATTGATAAATTTAATGAAATTGAAGAAATTGAAAATAGATTTTAATAAAATTAAATTTTAATTAATGAAATTTAATGTTCTATTAAGGGTTAATGAATAAAAGAGTTTTGGTAATTATATAAAAGTAGAATTTCCATCTATTCTGTTAAGGACAAAATTTGACAGGTGGGAGTGATATTTCAAAAAATATAGTAGGTGTCCTTGCAATTAGACTATTTTTCAGGGGGTGTTAGTGAAATTTTCACTTTCATAAATCACAATAATTTAAGTCAGCATTTATGGCTGGCAATAGATGGTAACATAGCCCAACCACTCCTGAAACAGACTTATAGGGGATGTTTAGATTCTATTTAGACGTGACTCGTTTTAACTCTTAAAATTTTTTATCTTGGTCATCGAATGTGTCTTAAATAAGTATTCAATGCACGTGATTTTTATTATCGGGGGATCTAAGAAGAATTAGATATACCTAATTTTATCTTTACAAATAGAGAAATTATTTCTGCGACTCAAACTCGTGACATTCCAATTATAATGAAGCGGTCGGATGTATCCTCTTTAACCAAATCAGACCTTACAGGAAGAATAGTCATCCAATCAGATCATGAAGTTAGTGTCATAGTTATGAAAAGGTAGGCCAAACAAGAAAAGGATCGCATTAATTCCCACACAAGCAAGCACCACATACATCATACATGCATATCTATCTTCCTTTCATCTTTATATAATCCAGTGAATGCATTACACAGAACCTCTGGTATTCCACATCTTTGCAGCACACACCCTTCACCTCCCAATACAATATACAACTCTCTCTCTCTCTTACACACACACACACACACACACACACACACACACACACACACAAAGAGGGTTCCCTAAAAGTAAAACTATGCCAGAAGAGAACCAAGTCATCCCATTGGCACTTACCCAAATCCATCACAGAAGCGACGAAGCATTCTCATCGACCAAGCCCAAAAATCTCCACCAGAAACGAAGCAGCAAAATCTTTTTCTACATACTCACAGCAATAGTCTTGCAAAGCGTGGGTTTACTGATTTTTGCATTGATAGCTTTGCGTTTTGAATCTCCCCAAGTTAAAATAACTTCAGTCTCGACGAAAAATCTACGATACAGCACTTCACCTTGGCCTTCATTGAATATGACTTTGATTGCCCAGATCACAGTTGATAACAAGAACTTTGGTCGGTTCAAACTGAAGAAAAACAGCAGCAAGGCAAGTGTATTATATGGTAACATAACAATTGGTGATACACTGATTAATGGGTGGAGTGTTAGAGCCAGAAAGAGAGAAAGTGTTAAAATTACAGTACAAGTGAGGGCAAACGGCGGTTTATCGGAAAATATGAATATAAGCAGTGAAGTCAAGTCAGGGTTGGTGAAGATGATCAGAAGCTATGCTGAATTGAGGGGTGAAGTGCATGCTTTTAAGATAATTAAAAAGCACAAAACTGCTATAATGAATTGCACCATGAGTCTTAATTTGACGAGCCAAGCCATTCACAATTTGCTTTGCAAGTGATCTTGATGGTTGCTTTCTGAATTTCTACCATAAATTATTGTAAATCGCACTTCTCTCCTTCCGTTGTGTGCATTTAAAATTTATTTCGGGTTGTTGTATATAAGTTGTAATTTTCTTGTGTAGATAGTAGGACATTATAAAACTTGGGACTGTAAGTATTCAAATGATATCTTCATCATCGATCCCATGTTCATCTCTCAATCAAATTTACCATGAATTAATTAACTATTTGGTCCTAAACTAATTTCATTTTTATCATACTAGATCAATGAACGACCCAAAGAAAAAAGGATTCAAACATTTTTTACTTACACCTACTGTTAAATGAGTTTAGCAGATCAAAATCATAGTATTTATCTTAAAACTAACCTGATTTACTTATTATTCTTATCAATGGGCGGTGTTTTTTGGATTTGTGTCATGTGAAAGTGTCGGGTTATAAACTTGTCTATCATTTGGATATGACTATTTGGACACTATGAAACAGAGGTCGTCTGCACCAATCTTGAGAAAGCACCTCAGATACCTTCAAATGATGCAACAACGACTATGAGTCAGCTTCAACCGTTCATCAAAATTCAAAGCAACTTGACAAACCATATGCTGCAAGCGAATTATCTATATAATAAAGTAATTTATAATTCAAATTTTAAAAGATAAATAAAATGACTTTTACTTTTCGCCGTTTAAATCACTTTAAATTTTATTTTAAAGTTAATCTAACTNAAAGTAATTTATAATTCAAATTTTAAAAGATAAATAAAATGACTTTTACTTTTCGCCATTTAGATCACTTTAAATTTTATTTTAAAGTTAATCTAACTGCTAATATTAACATTCTAAATTTAATAACAAAAATAGACCCCTAAGGATGTTTTTAGAGTGACTTTTTAAAAGTATATTTTTAAAAATTATTTCTCATAAGTACTTTAAAAAAATAGTGTTTAAAATTGTTCCAACACTACCTCCACTGCCACCACCTTCGCTACCGCCACCTCCACCGTCGCCACCACCACCACCACCACAACCACTACCATTGCCATCGCCACCGTTGTCGCCGCCACCTCTATTGCTACCATCGTCGTCGTCGCCACCATTGTTGTCGCCGCTGTTGCCGCCACCATAATTACCCCACCTAGATTGCCACCACCACCATCACCCCACCACCATTGCCGTTGCCACCGTCACCACAATCATTGTCAANTTGCCACCACCACCATCACCCCACCACCATTGCCGTTGCCACCGTCACCACGATCATTGTCACCCATCACAACTATCACCGTCTTTTACTACTACCACTGTAGCCTACCACTTCTCACCCCACTGCAATCGACATTTAAATTTATTTATCTCTCTTTTATGTTTGTGATTTGATTTTAGATATGAATATAAATATATTTTTTATTACTTTGTGTCTTCATATAGATGCAATAACTAGTTCTTCAATATTTAAAGAATAAGAAAACTTAGTTGATATTACTTTTCCCTTGTAGATTACAGGACAACAATGTTGCACTTGCTAATCCTGTCCGGTATGATCACATTCATTACTGCCCGACGCTAGTCCTATTTCTTAGTCCTCCTGGAGAGAGAAGGATACGTTTGCCCCTCGGCCCGATGATCGACTCATCTCAATCCGAAGATATTCAGAGTAACAGTGATAC